AACCGGATGATCATAACGACGTTGCTCAGATACGTTCACGAATCATATGCAGATAGTAGACATGCAATACGGGACTTGTCACCTCCTACGCAGGAGAGATGCAGCATTTAATAAACAGCAAAAACTCAATCTTTCCCTCAGAATCGCGAAGCCGTGTTCAACATCTTGGATCGCCGCCGTGGGTAGTGCCTCTCTCGCCGCTCTCTCCGCCGGGATTCGTCGCCGCTCTCTCCGCCGGGATTCGTCGCCACCGTGTTCGTGCCTCTCTCGCCTCTCTCTCCTCTCTCTCCGCCGTCATCTTCGCCTCTCTCCGCGGTAAGTGTTTCAGATGTATGTGTTTCGTATGTATGAGTTTCAGATGTATGTGTTTCGTATGTGTTCGTTTCAGATGTATGTGTTTCGTATGTTTTCGGGTTTTCAGATGTATGTGTTTCGTATGTGTTCGGGTTTTCAGATGTATGTGTTCGGGTTTTCGGATGTGTTAGGGTTTCAGATCTGTTAGGGTGTCGGATGTGTTAGGGTTTCGGATCTGTTAGGGTGTTTCGTATGTGTTAGGGTTAGTATTTGGGGTTAGGGTTAGTATTTGGGGTTTAGGGTGGGGTTTAGGGTTAGGGTTAGTAATTGGGGTTTAGGGTTTAGGGTTAGTAATTGGGGTTTAGGGTTTAGGGTTAATATTTGGGGTTTAGGGTTAGGGTTAGTATTTGGGGTTTAGGGTTAGGGTTAGTATTTGGGGTTTAGGGTTAGGGTTAGTATTTGACACATACATCTGAAAACCCGAAAACATACGAAACACATACATCTGAAACTCATACATACGAAACACATACATCTGAAACTCATACATACGAAACACCGGAAGCGGAAACACTTACCGCGGAGAGAGGCGAAGATGACGGCGGAGAGAGAGGAGAGAGAGGCGAGAGAGGCACGAACACGGTGGCGACGAATCCCGGCGGAGAGGGCGGCGACGAATCCCGGCGGAGAGAGCGGCGAGAGAGGCACTACCCACGGCGGCGATCCAAGATGTTGAACACGGCTTCGCGATTCTGAGGGAAAGATTGAGTTTTTGCTGTTTATTAAATGCTGCGACGGAAATATCCGTCGGTACTGGGTCGGAATCATTAAACGCGTCGGTGACACATCACCAAACGCGACGGACTTTCCGTCGGTAACATAAAGCAAATTCAGCGACGGAATGTCCGTCGGTATGTGGTCGGAATCTCAGACCGTAGGCGACGGAATTTCCGTCGTAACTGTGCGTTTCCCGAAAAACTCTGCAAGATCTGACGTTTCTGAACCGTGCGACGGAATTTCCGTCGGTATGTGGTCGGAATCTCAGACCGTAGGCGACGGAATTTCCGTCGTAACTGTGCGTTTCCCGAAAAACTCTGCAAGATCTGACGTTTCTGAACCGTGCGACGGAATTTCCGTCGGTATGTGGTCGGAATCTCAGACCGTAGGCGACGGAATTTCCGTCGTAACTGTGCTTTTTCCCGATGCATGTGTGTTTCTGACGTGTC